AGGGCTTAATTTTTTATAAATGAAATGGTTGAGTATTCCTTCAGCAATGACACCATGAAGAAATTACAAAGAGGAAAGGCAATGGGAACTAATAAGATTTAGGGCCATCTGAACCTCTGTTCTCATCTGTGAAATTGAGGACTCTGCCCTACCTTTCTCCCTGTGCGGTAGTTGAAGAGCAGGTTGAATTTATCTAAGAATAATCCTCCCTTATTCTTAGACTTGAATAGACTTGACTTGATTTGAGGAGACATGAGTTTGCTAAGGCTTCCTGAGAGTCTCACTTTCAGATGTTGCTGGAGATGAGATGCAGGACTCACTACCATACCAAGGATAAAGAGAACACATAGAGGGGCTGGAGCAATAGTATAGTGGGTAGGGCGTTTGCCTTGCACATGGCTGACCTGGGTTCGATCCCCAGCATCCCATATGGTCCCCCGAGCACCACAAGGAATAATTCCTGAGTGCAGAGCCAGTAGTAACTCCTGAGCATTGCTGGGTGTGACCAAAAAAGCAGAGAGAGAGAGAGAGAGAGAGAGAGAGAGAGAGAGAGAGAGAGAGAGAGAGCTAACACATAGAGAAAGGAAGCAGGAAAATGTAATTTAAAGGATGTTCTTAATATGGTTTTGTTTTGTTTTTGGGAGGCCACACCTGCTGGTGGCCCAGGGCTCACTCCTGGCTCTGCACTCGGGGATTACTCTTGGCAGGGTTCAGAGCCATAGGGTGTTGTGGCTCAAACTCACATTAGCTGTGTGTGAGGAAAATGCCCTAACCACTGCACTATAACTTGGGGCCTCTTAAAATGAGAGAGAGAGAGAGAGAGAGAGAGAGAGAGAGAGAGAGAGAGATGGCGATGGCATGGCAGCAGATGCAAAACCTGGCAGAGTGGCAGCAGCTCTCAGCACTCTGAACAGCGAGACCAATGGCATCATAAAATTTCTACATGAATGATTGGAAGTGCCCTTTAAGTGTTTTCTCTCAAAAAACAGTGGATATACAAGTCACTAGTACAATTGTACAAGAAAAAATTTTCCAACCCCATCAAAAAATAGGGAGAAGAAATGAACAGAAGCCTTCTCCAAAAAATAAATACAAATGGCCAAAAGGCACATGAAAAAATTCTCTACATTGCTAATCATCAGGGAGATGCAAACAACAACAACAACAACAGTAACAACAACGAGACTGGCACACATCAAAAAGAACAAAAACAACCAGTGCTGACGCAGATGTGGGGAGAAAGAAACTCTCTTTCATTGTTGGGGGAATGCCGACTGGTTCAGTCTTTTTGGAAAACAATATGGGCAGTCCGTCAAAAATTAGAAATCGATGGGGGTATGGTGCCACCAGCAGGTCAATCTGTACTTGTGAGGCGAGTGCATCAGCAGCCTGGTGGCGCCTTCAGACTTCCAGATACCTCAAAATTGCCACTGTGCCTTTGGCCAGACCCCCAAAACTTGGGGCAAACTTTACCAAGAAAGTAAACGGTCAAAAGTTAGGTATGTGGGAGACACACCCACAGACTACCTCTGGTTCAGCTATATAATTGGAGGCAAGGCCTCTCTGGTTCCTGATCGAACTGCTTAATGGCCATGATCCCAGAGACTCAGAAACAAATCTCGAAACCCAACGGCTTTTGGCAGAACTGCGTCTGGTCCCTGCAGTAGGTTACCGGTGCTGGGCCACCCCAGGTGGAAATAGGTTTTGTGGCTTGACCTGTTCCCCCTGGCGGCCTGGTGGCCGCCATCCTCTAGAGGCCACTGGACAGTCAGGTTTGGGCCTGCAGTGACAAGACATGTGGGGCCTCATGGGCTGGGGGTAGAGCCGGCCCTTTCCTCCCCACCCGAGTTGCCACCCATGAATGGCCTGACCCCTGATCAAGCTGCTTAACGGCCATGATTCCAGAGACTCAGAAACAAATCTCGAAACCCAGTGGCTTTTGGCAGAAATGTGTCCGATCCCTGCAGTAGGTTACTGGTGCTGGACCACCCCAGGTGGGAATAGGTTTCGTGCCTTGGCCTGTTCCCCTAGCGGCCCAGTGGCTGCCATCCTCCAGAGGTCACTGGACAGTCAGGCTTGGGCCCTCAGTGACGAGTCACATGGGGCCTCACAGGATGGGGTGAAGCCGGCCCTTTCCCCCCCGTCCCAACGAGACCCCAAGTCGCTGCCCATGAACAACCTCTCTGGTTCCTGATCAAGCTGCTTAACGGCCATGATCCCAGAGACTCAGAAACAAATCTCAAAACCCAGTGCTTTTGGCAGAAATGCATCTGGACCATACAATAGGTTATTGTCGCCAGGCCATCCCAGGGAAGAAAGGGTACTGTCCCTCCACCTGCTCCCCTCTGGCAGTCTGGTGGCCGCCATCCTCCAGAGACCACTGGACAGTCAGGTTTGGGCCCGCAGTGATGAGACACGTGGGGCCTCACGGGATGGGGATGGAGCTGACCCTTCTCTCCCCATTTCAACGAGACCCTGAGTCGCCGCCCACAAACAGCCTCTCTGGCTCCTGATCAAGCTGCTTAACAGCCATGATCCCAGAGACTCAGGAACAAATCTCGGAACCCAGCAGGTCTTGGCAGAAATCCCTCCAGATTTAATTGTTAAAATTTCGGAATTTCAAAATTGACATCATATGTTATTCATAACCAACAATAGAAAACAAAATTGTCTACTGTCGCCTTTTTGGCAGATCCGAGTATTGGGGTAAAATCCCAAATAATAATGGTGGGTCTGGTGTCAAAATATTGAATGTAGAGAGAGAGTAATGTGGAGGTCATCTGCCCCAAAGGTAGGGGGAGTGTGTGGGATGGGGGTATACTGGGGTTTTTGTGGTGGAGAATGGGCACTGGTGAAGGTACGGGTGTTTCATTGTAGAATGAAATGTACATTGTAGAAGTCTTTCAAGACAAACCTGAAAGCTTTGTAACTGCTCTCACAGTGATTCAATAAATAAAATTATAAAATATGAAAAAAAAGTAAGGTGGAGTTCATGCCCAATTCAATCAGCCCAATCAGTGGCTGAATAAATAGCAGTACTCCTACATTAAAAAAAATTAGAAATTGAGCTTCCATATGACCCCATAATACCACTTCTGTGAATATGTAACAAGGTTGAAAAAAGGAACAGTAGAAATGACTTCTGAACCTGTATGTTCATTGCAGTACTGTTCACAACAGCCAGAATCTGGAAACAACCCGAATTCCCAAGAACAGACAACTTTTAAAGAAACTTTGGTACATCTGTAGCACTGTAGCACTGACCTCCTATTGTTTATCGATTTGCTCCAGCGTGCACCAGTAACGTCTCCTTTGTGAAACTTGTTACTGTTTTTGGCATATTGAATACATCATGAACAGCTTTTCAGGCTTTGCCGTGTGGGCAGAATGCTCTTGGTAGCTTGCCGGGCTCTCTGAGAAGGGCGGAGGAATCAAACCTGGGTCTGCCACATGCAAGGCAAATGCCCTACCCACTATGCTATCACTCCAGCCCTCTGTACATCTACATGATGGAAATACTATGCAGTTGTTAGGAAAGATGAAGTCATGAAATTTTCTTATAAGTGAATGGTCATGGAGAGTATCATGCTAAGTAAAATGAGTCAGAGAGGGACAGACATAAAATGACTGCACTCTTTTGTGGAATATAAAATAACATGAGACTGACACCCAAGGACAGTAGAAACAGGGCCAGGAATGTTGCCCCATAGTTGGAAGCCTGCCTCATGAGCTGAGGGAGATCATACATGACACCTTTGTAACTGCATCTCATGGTGATTCAATTAAAAAAAAGTGAAGTGAAGTGAAACCAAACTGGTGGAGTGCCAGCCAGAGTGGGACTCACAAAGACAGTGGCAGTGACTGTGTGAGCTCTGAAGCTGATGGAACTACTGCAACCACCACAACTTTCAGAGCTATGGGCATTCAGCCGCCATGGCGGCAGAAGCTTAGCATGAAGGAATACAGCTCTTCAGGTCCCAGTCCTTGCCAGGGCTACAGCTGCTGGTGCCACAGGGGCCCAAAGGACGCAGGGAAACCAGCAGGTCAACCTGAATATAAGGGCGAGGACATCAGCAGCCTGATGGTGCCCTCGGTTTCCTAACACCCCAAAATTGCTGCAATACCTCTGGCAGGACTCCAACAACTCAGGACAAATGTTTTGAGGAATGAAACCACCACAAGTTAGGTATGTGGGGGTCATACCCAAAAACCACTTCCCGCTCAGCCATATGAGCTCATTTATTGGCCTTGCTCCAGGGACCCATAAAAAAATCTTGAAAGAGGTAGAAAGTCACAGTTAATCTTGGACCTGCGCAAAGCTGGACTGAAGTAGATCTTAGGGAGGCAGGTTTGCCTGGTGCCTGCCCAAACAGAGCCCTCAGCAGCCGTAATCCAAATTGCCACCATGCCCCTGGCTGGCCTCCACTCTCTTGGAACGGGCCTCACCGAGATATTAATCTGCTGAAAATTCAGGTATGTGGGTCTTGTGACTGAAATCAGGCTTTCTCGGGGGCAGGCTGGGCTACATTTCCCAACCTCCTAACCTGTGAAGCCCTGACAGTCACATCCACACTAAAGAGGCCACCCAGTTTAAAAAAAAAAAAAAAACGCTACTCCAACTGTACCTTTCTGATAAAAGTACTGTAAGCCCTGAACAAACACAATGACCTCTTAGTACCTGTATTACAAATCATAATGCATAAAAGGTGAGAGAGAGAGAGAGAGAGAGAGAGAACACAGACAAAGGAGAGTGAGAAAAAGACAGAGAGACAGAGAGAGAGAGAGAGAGAAGAAAAGTGCCTGCCATAGAGGCAGGCTGGGGTGGCGATGTTGGTAGGGTAGTGGAAGGGAAACTGGAGACTCGGGTGGTGGGAAATGTACACTGGTAGAGGGATGGGTGTTGGAATATTGTATGACTGAAACCCCATCTTGAACAGCTTTGTAGTGGTCTATCTCATGGTGATTCAATAAAAAGAATTGATTTTCAAAAAGTAAAAGCACACGTTTAGAGAAGAAAATCTTTAATACAAATCATATTACATTAAAGTATATTATATGCAGTGATCTAATATTATCAAATATTATCTTTCAAGTAAAATGAGAGGTAGAAAGATGGTTAGCATTTAACATAAGCAAATTAAAAAATCCCTCTTAAAAACTACACTGTTAACCATTTTCAGAATTCAATCATTAGTGATAGGGTCTTGTTGGATCATGGTGATATTCTTTATTCATCTTCACACAAGTGATCTTATGTATTACTCAATAGTGTAATGCAATACTCAAATTCATTTGGACAGTAAGGCTTGGAACTTAGAGATTAGCTTGTATTTTGTGACTTTCAATAATTTTTTCTGCTTTCAGCTGATTGATTTCTTCCTGGCTGAACCCAAACTCTTTAAGTATCTCTTCAGAATGTTCTCCCACCAGAGGGTCCCTTTTGGAAGAAGGCGTAGCTGGGGTGTTGGACAGCACAGGTGCAGGACGGGGACTTGTGCCCCTCTCCCCATCTGTGATAAATGAGCCCCGGTCTTTGTTATGGCCGTGATGGGCAACCTCTTCAAAAGTCAGAACTGGAGTCACGCATGCATCTGTGCCATCAAAAATCTGACACCACTCTGCCTTTGTCTTCTTTGCAAAAACATCTGCAAATGTCTTCTTCATTTCTGGCCAATGGGCTGTGCTCATCTGATTGGGAAGTTCTTCTGACTTCAACCCAAGTCCTGAGAGAGAACCAAGAATTTCTTAAATGATTATGTTTTGGGTATACTGATCATAATCAATGAAAATTCGTTTCAAGCTCACCATACTGGCCCAAATAAGATGTCCCATTATACGGGCTGGAGTGATAGCACAGCAGGTAGGGCATTTGCCTTGCACGCGGCTAACCCAGGTTCGATTCCCAACATCCCATATGGTCCCCTGAGCACCACCAGGAGTAATTCCTGAGTGCAGAGCCAGGAGTAACCCCTGTGCATCACCGGGTATGACCCAAAAAGAAAAAAAATGCTCTAATATAGTCCCTAACAGTGGTCGCAAAGAAATCCAAACTCAGCTTAGAGTCATAGCCAAAGCTAGAGAGGAGAGATAGTTAGGGTTACAGGACTCAAAACAAACTGACTTTCCCATGGCCAAGACTTTGCTATTTACATTTTATAACAAGGGGCCCAGCTTCCCCAAATCAATTTCTTCCCTCTGAGTTCTCTCTCAAAAACAAACCTCTTCCTGAGGTTACCATTCCAGCACACTAAAGTGAAATGTACAGTACAGAACACTGTACAGAATTTTACATAAATATTGTACATAATGCTCCCAAGCCCTACAAAATATGGAAGTTTATACAATGTTACACTTGACTCAGTTTTTAAGGAAGAAGCCTAAGGATAAAATTGGGTATCTGGGGCTGGAGTGATAGCACAGAGGGTAGGGCGTTTGCCTTGCACACGGCCGACCCAGGTTCAAGTCCCAGCATCACATAAGGTCCTTTGAGCACCACCAGGAGTAATTCCTGAGTTCATGAGCCAGAAGTAACCCCTAAGCATCACCGGGTATGTCCCAAAAAGCAAATAATAATAATAATAATAATAATAATAATAATAATAATAATAATAATCGGGTATCTTTTACTTAAAGATCAAATTCAACAGTGAAATTTTATGAATAATATTCATTTCCCTTTACTGTGGTAAAAAAAAAGAGCTTAAGGAGGAAATGGTAGACACTGTTGCAAAGTAGGAACAAAGGACTTGAAAGTAATAATCAGACTTATGCAAGTTACTCCTGAAGCCAATTCATCATCCACCAGCCAGGTAACAGTGGAACAGGCTCTGCACTCAGGGATCACTCCTTGCAGTGCCCTGGGGACCATATGGGGTGCACCAAACTTCCAGCTGAAGATTAATACACTGTGAGCAGTTTGTCACACCACTTCAGAGCCTGTTCCATAGCTCCTCAATCACTAATTATCCCTAATCTTTAAATTCAAATCTCTCACTGGAACTAATCAATATCACTTAGTTCAACTGCTTAATTAGGAAGTAAGAGATCCCTCATTTTCCTGCACACTTGTGACAACATGCCAGTTAGATAAGAAAGCTGCAAGCAAGGTCACCTGCTGAAGCACATGTAGTCATGAAATATCCCAACAAACACCCATTCTCCAAAGTCTCTCTGTTCCTGGTTACTCCTGACACTAAGCCCCAGGAGAGATACCCAGCCAGCCACAGGACTAACCACATGAAGAGCAGATTATTTCTAGGGAAGGATACAATGTGGCCACAAAAATATCCAAACTATTTTGGCTAGAGTAAGAGGACAGCATAAAGAGGTTGCCTTGCAAATGGTCCACCCAGATTCAATCCCTGATACTCCATACGGTCCTCAGAGCCCCGCCAGGAGTGATCCCTGGGTATAGCACCAGGAGTAAGCCTGCAGCACAGTTGGGAGTGGCCGAACCTCCACCCTTCTGCCCCCACCAACCCTGACTATATATATATATATATATATATATATATATATATTAAATATATACATCCAAACTACTGAATAGGAGACATAAATATATAAAGATGGAACTCCCACAAAAGGGATGAGTATTTTTCAAATACCTGAGCCATTTTTATAGACTTCCTCAGTTTAAAACTCAGGGAAAGGTCTCCCAATATAATCATAGCTATAACCATTAGTTAGAGAAACTGGCAACATAACGAGTGGCATCATGAATACCAAAAATAGAGTATCAAGAATATCTACAGAAAAAGGGGTGTTTTGGAGGTAGAAATTCCTTACCTTTGATCAGCAGCTTATAAAATTGGGGTTCTATTGCCCCAACAGCCATGAACCCCCCATCGGCTGTCCTGTATGTTGTGTAGAAAGGAGCTCCACCATCTAGCAGGTTCTCCCCTCGTGGCATATCCCACAGCCCAGTATTCTGAGTTTTCCACAGAAAAGAACTTAAATACGCAGCTCCTTCCACCTTGAAAAAACAGAGACAGAGTATGATACAAACAGGAGTCAATTTAAAAGCAGGACTTTTTCTTACCTGGGTGTTTCCTAAGTATCTGCATTAAAATGTTTATCATTGAGAAAGAAAGGTAATATTTAATTACAGAACTTCTTTGGTATTTGAAGAAAGTCCGGAGCAGGCAGATGGGAGGCAGTTTTCACACAATTATGTTCAGAAAAGACTAAAACAAGGGGCTGGAGTGATAGCCTAGTGGGTAGAGTATCTGCCAACCTGGGTTCGATCCCCTGTATCCCTATGATTACCTGAGCACTAACAAGAATGATCTCTGTGTGCAAAGCCAGGAATAAGTCCTAAGTATAGCCAGGTGTGACCCCAAAACAAAACAAAACAAAACAAATAAAAGTCTTAAACAGAACTACTTTTTTTTCTTCCTTTCAGGTAAGACTGGCAAAATGTGATCATTTTTGAGGTGAAGGTATACGAATGTTCACTACATATTCTCTCTATATATGTTTAAAAATATTGAAATGAAGCAAAGGATTTCTTTAAATCCTTCTAATCCTTCGAATCTCAAAACATGTCAACACATACAGATGCATACCACATTTTAAAAGGGAATCACAATTAGCTGACTAGTTCAATTTAGCTGACTTAGGTGACTCCAAGCCTAAGAAAACTATCATTGAATATTTAATGTGCATCACTTACTAGCACTGTAGCACTGTCCTCCCATTGTTCATCAATTTGCTCTAGCAGGCACCAACAACATCTCGATTGTGAGACTTGTTGTTACTATTTTTGGCCTATCGAATACGCCACTGGGAGCTTGCCAGGCTCTGCCATGTGGGCAGGATACTCTCGGTAGCTTGCTGGACTCTCTGAGAGGGCAGAGGAATCAAACCCGGGTCGGCCGCATGCAAGGAAAATGCCCTACCCACTGTGCTATCATTCCAGCATAGAAGATTACAAATAAACATAACACTATGGATGGCATGCATGGGATAGGGGAGTTGGTTTTTTTTTAAGTTCAGACAAACTAGGCTGGGAATGTCCACTCTGCACCTAATGCTGAAGTACTTAGAATGGGTTCATTCTCTTGGCGCAATTATCGCTGGCTGGATACACTGGGCCACGTGCTACCTGTGCCCTAATCAACTTTGACCACTATTTGTACAAAGGATCCTAGAAATGAGGAAGTAACACAGATAAAATTTTATTGTTTTGCTTGCAGTATTTAACCAACATGCTCTCTATCCTAAATCTGACTAGACATGGGTCTGATTAAAGATAACCTTTAATGTACTTCTGAAACAAAGTATGCAATTACATGGCATCAATAAATTATTCAAATAGGACTCATTAAAATATTCAGCCTTAAGGGACTGGAGCAATAGCTTAGCGGGTAGGGCATTTGCCTTGCATGCGGCTGAAACAGGTTCAATTCCCAGCATCCTATATGGTCCCCCGAGCACTACCAGGAGTAATTCCTGAGTGCGGAGGCAGGAGTAACCCCTGAGCATCACTGGGTGTAACCCAAAAAGAAAATAACAAAATATATTCAGCCTTAAATTATTCATAATACCCCCAAGTTCCTTCCTTCCTGACGAGAGAGGCTGTGTCCACTGAGGACAGGGGACAACACCAGGACACAGGCTTTGGGTCCAGCTGACTTTCCGGCTCTTGGAGATGGCCGTCAGACTCCAAGCCTGAGTCTCAAGTCACAAATCTATAGTTGCACTGTGCATAGAAACAGTATTGGTTTGAGACAAAAAAGTGAATTAAAATAGTTTTAAAAAAGAGAATCACAAGGTTCCCAAGTCTTAAGGACTGGGTCTGATTAGCCCGAGGGCAGGCGGAAGTGCAGCCCTGACCCCTAGAGGAGCGACTGTGGCAAGACATAGCTTTCACAAAGGTCACCAGTGACAAATATTACAAGGCTTAGTTTTAAATACCTCAACTCTCCAACGACTGACCCCTGACCCTTCCTTTTCACCTCCCTGCTTTGTTTCCATGACAACACTCCCTTTTGATTCTCCACTTAGTTCTCCTTAGGCCTTACTTCTCTCCTTCTGTCCACACCCTCCTCAAAGGCTGAGGATCTGTCCCTCCCACAGTGGGACTGTCCTTCCAGTCCCACATAGCTCCCTGGTGACTCTGCTGCCAGTCTCCATCTGGGGAGTCCCTTCTCTGTAACAGGATCAATGGATCTCTCTCACACACGAGCACCTCCACCTCTCCACCAGGTCTGTGCACACAATGAACAGCGGAAGAACTCACATCCCTAATAGTGCTATCTCTCTCTAACCATTATCACCTCTGCATTTCGAAGAAAGAAACTGAGGCATGGGGAGATAGCTCCAAAGGCTGGGAAGCATGGCTTGCACGTGTAAGGCCCTGAGTTCAACCCTTGCCACTACATACCCTTCATCAACAACCCCTCCCCAATACCCTGCCCTGGTGGTCCCCTCTCCTTGCTAACGATGGATCACCAAATCCTAGCAATTTTACACCTCAAATATCCCCTAAATGGATCCACTCCACTATTAACTCTTTCATGCTTGTACGTACCACTCAATACTTATCCTTTACATCATTTCTTTGACTCCAGTCTATCTCCCTCACATCTATTCTCCATCCTACCTCCAAACATCTGCCCAGATGCCCAGGCACAGGCCTGGGTTCTGACCAACTAGCCAGGAGCTCTTGGGCAGACTTCCTTGCTTTCATTTTCCTATCTTTAAACAAAAGTGATTCCTTGAGTAGCACTGTCCTCCCGTTGTTCATCAAATTGCTCGAGCGGGCCCAGTCACGTCTCCATTTTGAGACTTGTTGTTACTGTGTTTGGCATATTGAATACGTCACGGGTAGCTTGCCAGGCTTTGCCATGTGGGCGAGATAATCTCGGTAGCTTGCTGAGCTCTCTGAGAGGGTCAGTGAAATCTAACCTGGCTCAGCCGGGCTGGCTGCACGCAAGGTAAATGCCCTACCGCTGTGCTATCGCTCCAGCCCTTGAGTAAAGTGTGTTTTTTGTTTTGGGTGTTTTTTTTTGGGGGGTGGGGGAAGCCCTCCCAAGCAGGTTTCAGGAACCTCAGAGGACCCTCTCGCCATTCTCAGCCAACAGGACAAGCGGTTCATTGCCAAGGTCAGAGGATGTGGTGCTGCTCGGACCCTTGTGATGCCAGGGATTATTTGGGCCACGCCTGGTTGTACCCAGGGGCCTCTGGGGCTGCATCTGGCAATATACAAGAACTATCTGATGCCTGGAATAGAACCAGCCATAGGCAAGGCTTGCACCTTGACCCCTATTCTCTCCAGCTTCCAAATTCTTGCTTTGAGAATTGAAAGAAATCACATGGAGAAAGAGCTCACACACCAGCATGACATGAGGCACAGACTCAGCGGGTGGCAGCTAGGAAGGCAAAGTTCTGAGGCCCAGGGAGTTCCTGCAGGACAGCAAGAAGAGAGGATGGGTCCATTTCATATCAGCACCCTTAATAATATTCTCTCTCCCAGGAAAAAGTCGTGCAAGCAGCCCACAGCCCAGCTTCAGACACTGGTCCGAGCTGTGCAAGTCTTCCCAGGCTGTCCGGAAGTCCGATGTCTCTGACTTCTGACTCTGGGGAGGTGACAGGCACGGGGGAGACTCGGACCTCTGAGCCACAGCGTGGCCTAGGGTGTGTGTGACTAGTAAACATCAACTAATCACACACACACACACACACACACACACACACACACACACACACACGAATATTCTCTGCTTGGGGAGACGTCCGGAACCTAGTTTTTAATGTGGAACGCTTGAAGGCTACATCCCAAGCTTACGAAAAAACTCAGGAGGCATTGTTGAACTATAACACAGGATTCAAGAGAATCATGGAGTACCAAAATGTGGGAATCCAGGTTTAGGGACAAGGCAAGTAGTTGAGTTCCTGCTCCGCATGCAGAAGCTCTAAGTCAGACCCTCAGCAATTCCCAGCCTTGGCTGCGCACTACAACCCTGAAACTGACAGTGTGATGCTGGCCATGACAACTACGTGCTCAAGCCCAGCACTCTGGCACCAAGGATGAGAGCACCAGGGCCAAGTGTGTGACCTCCAGTGAACTATGACCAGAATAAATAAAGGGCGGCGAGGGGGGGGAGGGGGCAGGATGAAGAAATAGATAAATTATCAAGTTAAAAGATGACATTTTGATATATGCAAAAGATACAAGGTCCTTCCTTCCTTCCTTCCTTCCTTCCTTCCTTCCTTCCTTCCTTCCTTCTTTCCTCCCTTGCTCCCTTCCTCCCTCCCTCCTTCCCTCTCTACCCTCCTTCTTTCTTCTTTCTTCGCAGAACAGGGAATAAGACCACATCTTCAGAAAGCAAGGCATCTACTCTATCCCTGAGCCATATCTCCAGCATGAAATGAGACTACTTAAAAAAAAAAAGCACATGTTCTGTGTAACTTGGCCGCAATGTTCCAATCCCATACTCTTTAATCTTGCTCAGAAAAGGATTGGAAGCAGCCATGGGGTTTAGTGGGTAACAAGTGGTAGGTTTAGCATCTCCCCCAGTTAACACTTACCATGTTGGCATCAATGACCTGACCTCTGCCAGAGCGTGTTCGTTCAAAAAGAGCCAGCACGATGCCAAGGGCACACATGAGGCCCCCACCGCCAAAGTCAGCTACGAGATTCAGGGGGGCATATGGATTCTCACCGCTTCTGCCAAGTCGAGACAGTACACCTACAGCGTTAAAGACATGGAGAGCACTCACTGCCACCCGTACGTCTCTCCCAGATAACCAGACCCTTTTTGGCTGACATTAAGTGAAAACTGGCACACACCACTTCCCCAATTATAAAGCCACTTTGCACATTTATAAGCAAGTTTCCTCCTCCAGCAAGGATCTCTGTTCTGTGCATGGTGGTCTCCCAAGCACTGCTCTCAAGGTCTGGGGTCCCTCCTGGTGACTCCCTCCATGGCTAACTGTGGGGTTCATCTGAGGATACACTGCATTGCTGTGAGTCCCATGGAGCACCTGGAACAGCCCAGCCTTGTTTGGGGCCCTCTAGGGCCACACCTGGCAATACTCAGATGGACCCTGTGGTGTCAGGGTTATCTCCAGGCAGGGAAGTACCTTAACCCCTGTACTATCCCTTTATTCTTCTATGTTTGTTTCAATGGACATTTTAATGTTATTACCAAAATAAGAACACAGACAATAGTGAATAATGAAAAATTCTTGACGATGGAATATAGAACAAGTGGAGGGAGATGGGGATGAAAGAATCCAAGAGTTAAGGAGACATAGGACAGAGGTGGGCACTGGTGGGGGGGAAGGGTGAAGTAATATGGTATAGCAATATCCTAAATTTTAACAGTACCATAAGTATATAGACTATAAATTTTATAAAGTAAAACTGTCACATTTTTACTCTCTGAGACTCTGAATGCAGTGGGAAGGGTATGATCAACTGAGATTATACTTTAAAATTGAGATTATACTTTAACGTTCATTCTTATTTTAAAGTATTAGTATTCAAAAAATACAAACAAGGTAAATTTAAAATTGAGTTTTAAACCAGATTATAAAAAATATTGCACCAATTCTTTCTTTGCCACAATAGTTAACTGTTTATTCCCTTTATTTATTCAATAGCATGCAATTCTATTAGAATTAACCCATTTTTAATTTTTTTTAACTGAATCATAGTGAGATCCACAGTTACAAAGCTGTTCATGATTGGGTTTCACTCATATAATGTTCCAACACCTGTCTCATCACCCATTTGAAGACTTATTTATAAGCAAAAATTTCAATGAAGTGGTGTTACACCTAAAAACTATGGACTTTTTCTGAAATGAGAGTTCAGGTAATGATTCCCAGTGAAGGTGGGGAGAGAGTAGAGTCAGCATCAAACTACAACAGGATTTTCCAAGTACAGAGTGAACATTCTAGTATTTTTGGGGAACAGTTTTTTCCCCAATGTGCCCAGACACATTGCACACCGAGTCTGGGCAGATGCAGGGTGAAAGATGATGGGTGCATGAAAAACCACTCCGGGAGACAGCTGACCACTCATTTTATTGCAAAATACACACATATTTTATAGGGAGTCTCGGCTTAAAAGGATGGTCCAATCACACAAAGTTTAGCATTACTGACCTATCACCTTTTCAACTCTGCTTTGCCCGGGCCCAATCCCATTTTGGGCTAGATGCTGCAGTTAGGTGACAATTCTAGGAAGGCTTGTGTGAGAATCAAGGCCACATACATGGTGTGTGTAAAATGCACCCAGACACTCCTTACCGGGTCACTATGCAGGGAAAGGTCTTAACTGCTATGCAGAAACAGATCTCATCTGCTCTGTGCCTGTTGCCATGTTCTACATAGTGCTGAGAAGTCTCTAACTTCTCTGTAAGGGCTGGACTGAGAATTGAGTTCACACAGGGATAAAATAAATGTCACTACAGAGAGGATTATTATTCCTCAAGTGTGTTAAGATGGGAAGAGGTTGAAAAATGACAGTTCCAAGGCAAACCAACAATTTATAAGCAACTACACTTTTGTTAACTCTTAAAAACACCTAAGTCCTTATATTAAACATCCTACTTAATAACTTGATTGGAAACAAATAAAATACACAAGAGCAGTTATTCTTTCAACATACCCGACAAGGCCAAATAGTTGATATCATGGCCAGCGACCTGGGAGAATCTTCCAGATTGTCCAAATCCACTCAGCCTGGCATAGATGAGCCTTGGGTTCTCCCTTTGCAGAGTTTCGGGGCCCAGCTGGAGTTTTTCCATGACACCTTAGGAGAAAAGTAATTTTTCAGAAGCACAGAGGATGTGTAAGATCCCTTCTCTGTGACAACCATAATACTTCCGGGAGTCATACTATTAACACTCACTGCAAGCCTGTGTAGGGTGTTTGCAAAAAGGGCATCACTTCTGAAATGTGTGGCTCCCGAATGCCATTGCCTCCCACATCTTACCTAGTTCCCTCCAGACACATCTAAGCTGCTTCTATCACCAGATGGCAGTTCATTCCTTTAGACCAGTCCCACGAGAGTTTCCCCCATCCTCTCTTTAGTCATTTAATAGAAATGTCTGCTTTTCCTTAGCAAGTTACAGTGAGTCTTTATTGGGTTAAAAATCTAAATAGGGGCTAATGAGACAGTACAAGGCAAGGCGTTTGCTCCCTCCATGTGGGCAGCCTCTACTAGCGCCCCATTCCTGATGCCTCCCTATCAGCGACCACAATCGCATCCACACCAGTTCTGAGTGGCAGGATTCCCAGGAAGTTCGGCTACTACTTCCTGACTTCTCCTCCTTCCACCCAGTCTGCCCCTTCATGAGGTTGCAATAGGGGACCAAGGCACTATCCCGGTTCATGCCACTGTGTGGGCATCTGAGAAAGATAGGGAGGTCTCACCCAACATAGGCTGGAAAGGTCTCGTGCTGAGGCACCCGCCATGACCAATCTCCTCTCTAATTAACCATGACCTTCCTCCTGTCTGGAGGTCTAGTTGGTAAATTCTTTTAATATCCCACCCCTGCTGCCCTCACTCCTGATTTGAGGGGAAATGACAGCTTAGGGGGAGGGGATGAAGAGAGAACTCAAAGGGCTGGGCACAGACTCTGCTTGCTGGAAGTCCAAGTTCAATTCCTGCCTGCACATAGTCCCCACAGTACTACCAGGAAGGACCCATGGGCAGAGAGCTGGAAAGAGCCCCTTTGTCCCCAGCACTGGTGGGGGTAGCCCCCAAACAAACAATTCAGCTTCAGCAAGCCTGTCTTCTTTCTAGGGCCTTTTCTGCTTCAACATTTATTTCCATGTCTCCCAAATGTATCTGTCCTATCATCCCTGTTTCAGGAAAAAAAAAAAATCACATAGAGCCCTCTCTGGAAATCTACATTTTTTTCAGTGACAAAACACAAACCCTCCACAACTGCACCTGAGGTTACGATCATGCTATCACCCCATTCTCTCAACCAGCCCCAATGTTCCTGCATACCCAGCCACCTGGGGTTACAGACCACTCCGGGAAACACGGTTCTACCTTCAGCTAGTCTATCCATTTTCCCCATCCACCCCGGAAATTACTCCCAGCAGAACTCTGCCTAATGTTTCTACAGGCCCGCACTGCACCTAATATCAGTACTTCACCAAAAACCACATTGCATCTGCGATCTGTCAAGTAACTAGTACAACATTTATTGTACAATAGCCAGAGGGGCATTTAAAGCCTCGAGGGATTAAAAACAAGAAAGATTATAGAACCACTTTGCCTTCCTACATCTGCAATAGTTTATAAAAGAACTTCAGCTACCAACCTAAATGCCCGCACAAACTTTTGCCTGGCAGCCGCGTCTGCTTTCCTCCCAAGAGAACAAATTGCTTAACCGCTTGAGCAACCTTCACCTTCAAATGGAACTCCACTAAAGTATGATGTAATCTTAATGGTTAAATTATTGTTCTAACTTAAACTATGACTGCAAGAATTAAGACAGTTAAATATGCCACATTTAAGTGATATGTAATTTATTCACCTATATTTAGTGACCTGTAGCTTTATGGCAGGCAAAGCTTGGGATATGTGCTTGGACAACGAGAACTGCTTTAAGAGTAATCCTGAGTAAGGGCTGGAGTAATGCTAGCCCCAAATATCAGTTTTAAAAACAACAACAACTTTTCCTTATAGGATCTAGGAGGTTGGAGGTATAGAGGGAACCCCGAACCACTAAATGGAAGAAAAACGATGGGGCAGTGATCATTGAAAACAGGACAGATTGGACTTAAGTTTCTGATTTGGGAAATAGTGGGGATTCTCGTTTCATTCACTGACATTATTAAGCCAGGAAGAGAGATGCCTTTTTTTTAAAAAGGAGGGGCGATGTTTCTCGGCTTAAACCTGGCTTTGTGTACAGTGATCTAGTCCTGGACGTGCTCCGGGCACTGTAAGTGGTACTGCGGATGGAACTAGGGTGGGCCTCACGAAAGGCACGTGACCTACTCACCCGCTTGACTTTCTCTGGCCGCCAGGGATGCCCACTTGGAAGGAAGAGGGTGGGGTCAGTTTAGGATTTCTGTAAATTGCAGGGGATGGGGGGAGCCAGATAAGAATGGGCAGGACCTGAGTTTTGGGGAGATCTGCAGCTCAGTGATACTCAGAGGGGAACACAGAGATTTGCACATTGGCTTTCGAGATAAAATAGACAAGGATTCTATAGGAAGTAGTGTGCAAAGGAAGCAGTGTGCAAAGTAAGGAAGCAGTGTGTCAAGTAAGGAAGCAAGTGTGTCAAGTAAGGTAGCAGTGTGCAAAATAAGGAAGCAGTCTGTCAAGTAAGGAAGCAGTGTGCAACGGACGGAAGCGGTGTGAAAAGTAGTGTGTAAAGAAACGAAATGGACGTAAGTCGCAACTTGGAAACGCTAGCACTTAACCCTGGGTGACTTAGATCGATCAGCGAGCGACCCACAATAGCAATAAGCCTGCGCTGCTGTGCAATATTGCGGGGAGCGAACAGTAGCTTTCGCCAGAATTGTCACAGTATCCGTGACTCAAAGAATCAGGAAACGCAGGTCGACGTGGGCTACTGGCGAAAAAAAAAAAACGGGCCGGGGTCCAGCGAGCAGCAGCACCTGGAGACACCAGCCCAAGTGTCTGAATCTAAGCTTGGAATCCGTCTCCCGAGGCGCGGGATAAAAGCGCGGGCAAGGAGAAGGTCCGGCCAGCCGGGGGCGGCGGGGGTCCCCCGATCCAAGGGCAAGCGCGAAGCGAGCAGAGGCGCGGCCGGCGGCCCAGCTCCCCCCTCGCGCCCGGGCCTTCGGCGGGGGCTCACCGTGGCGGAAAGGCTCCAGCACCACGTCGGCCCGCGCGCACAGGCGCCGCAGCACGGCAGCTCCCCGCGGCCGCTTCAGGTCCAGCGCCAGCGAGCGCTTGCCCCGGGACAAGAGGCTCACGTCGCCGCCGACGCCGGGCCGGTCCACACGCACCACCTGCGCGCCGAAGTCCGCCAGGACCATGCCGCAGAAAGGGCCCGGGGCCAGGCCGGCCAGCTCCACCACCGAGACGCCCCGCAGAGCCATGGCATCCCTGGAGCCCCGCAGGAGCAGCCGGGAGGGCGCGCGCCGACGCTTCCTGCAACCTGCAGCGCTCGCGCGCCGGGTCCGGGGTCCCCGCCGTGTCGTGCGCCTGCGCGCTGAGTCTGCGCACTGGGGCGTTTCCCAGCCCCGCCTCCCGAGACCCTTTGGAGAGCGGCCAGTCGCGTTTGACCTTGGGTGTGCCTGCTCGATACTGTCCTTTGAGGACGCCACTGCTCCTACCTTAGCCACGACGCACTCTTGCGCTATTTGAGTACACAGAGTAGCAAGAAGAATAACTGCAAGAAACACTGATACTTGCAAAGATGCCAAGACGTTTCTCGTTCTTTTGTCCCTTTCGACCTCCTGACTGATGATTTCACGCAGAAACGAGTTCAGAGCCCTTTCAAAGGCGCTGGATATTGAGTAACAGACTTTGTGGAGGAGTTTTTGGGGTTTTTTTTTTGTTGTTGTTGTTGTTGTTTTTGTTTGTTTTTGCTTTTGGGGTCACAGCCATCGATGCTCAGGGCCCACTCCTTGGCTCTGCATTCAAGAAGTACTCCTGGCAGTGCTCAGGGGACCATATGGGACGCTGGGATTCGAACCCGGGTCAGCGGCATGCAAGGCAAACGCCCTACCCGCTATGCTATTGCCCCAGCACCCCCTTCCTTTTTTTTTTCTTTTTTAAAGTTGACTCACGAAACAGCAAAATTATCAGAAACAATCGGAGGGAGCAGATCAGGTTGATCCAAATGAAAGAGCTTTGAATATATTTTTCATTTGTCAAGGCTTTGGTTTTTAAAATTTAATCTACACTTTTTCTTAAAAACAGCAAAATTTTAAAATCACAAATAGTTCTGCTACTTTCACAAAGTTTTCCTCTCTCTTAGAGATGTGTGCAGGTAATGTGATGGGTTATTTGGCTCTTGTTGGGTTTTGGGTAGAGTGCCCATAAGTGGGCGCCCCAATCTCCTTTAATTCTTTGAAAAGTGTGTGTTTATGAATTTTGAGGCAGGTGATAGAAGGCAAAACATAACAGACTTGTATTGGAGATCTTTTAAGACAAGTTGAAATAGTCTTGATCAGTTTCAGAACTACCTCAAGTTTCCTGGTGACTCCCTATGTCTGGTTGCCTCCCTCTTAACGTCTATCTGCCCTCATCTCTGAATATCTTATCTAAAGAATAACAGGTGCATAAATCTTAAGAATTCAAGCCAAAAATCTGCTCCAATGTAGAACTGATCCGAAATGCTCTCCCTCAGAAGGTAGAGGAGAGTCTTTCTACATAAAAGACAAAAGCAATGGAAGGAAATTGTCTGTTGGCTGGAGCTAAAGCCCAGGTGATTTTTTTGTGGCTGGTTGTCCTTAGTTTCAGTTTCAAAATGAGGCATTTGCAAGGTTTTACCCATGTGTTTGCTGCCAAGTTGTTGAGACTGCCCAGGTATTAGAGTTACCTCACTGTCACTGTCACTGTCCTCCTGTTGTTCATCGATTTGCTCAAGCGGGCCCAGTAACATTGTGAGACTTGTTACTGTGTTTGGCATATCAAATGCATCATAGGTAGCTTGCCAGGCTTTGCCACGCGGGTGAGATACTCTCGGTAGCTTGCCGGGCTCTTCAAGAGGGGCGGAGGAATCGAACTCGGGTCAGTCATGTTGGCTGCGTGCAAGGCAACCGCCCTAACCCGCTGTGCTATCGCTCCAGCCGAGGGTTACCTCAATCTAATGTAAACACAAAGGGCAAGATGTAAGGCAAGGCTTAATGTTTTCTTAGAGGTAAGTAGTATTTAGTAATATAGTGAGTAGTTTCCCACTGAGTATATGTATTTGTATTTGGGCTGGAGCGATAGCACAGCAGTAGGGCATTTGCCTTGCACGCAGCCAACATGGCCGACCCGAGTTCGATTCCTCCGCCCCTCTCGGAGAGCCCTGCAAGCTAACGAGAGTATCTCGCCCGCACCGCAGAGCCTGGCAAGCTCCCCGTGACGTATTCGATATGCCAAACACAGTAACAACAAAGTCTCCAATGGAGACGTTACTGGGCCCGCTCGAGCAAATCGAAGATCAACGGGAGGGCCTTTACTTACTTACTTACTTGTGTGTGTATTGTGAATATATATATACACATATATCACAATACACATATCTTTGTGAGTTAATATTAATTTGTGAATATATATATATATATATGCATTAGCACTGCACTGTAGCACTGTCCTCCCGTTGTTCATCAATTTGTTCAAGCGGGCCCGGTAACGGCTCCATTTTGAGACTTGTTGTTACTGTGTTTGGCATATTGAATACCTCACGGTTAGCTTGCCAGGCTTTGCCGTGCGGACGAGATATTCTCGGTAGCTTGCTGGGCTCTCCAAGATGGGCAGAGGAATCGGACCCAGCTCGGCCAGGCCGACCGAGTGCTAGGCAAACGCCCTACCTGCTGTGCTATCGCTCCAGCCCATAGTATATATGCATTAGTAAATATAAATATACACATACTATATTTTGTTTGTCCAGTTGTCAATTGATGGACACTTGAGCTATTTCCATATCTTGGCGGTTATATACAGCACTGCAATATAGGTCTACATATTTCTTGTAAAATGAGGTGTTTTTTTGTTGTTGTTCTTCTTGTTGGGTTTTGGGTCACAACAGAAAGTGCTTAGGGCTTACTCCTGGCTCTGCACTGAGGAATTACTCCTGGTGGGCTCAGGAGAACATATGGGTGCCAGGGATCAAACTTGTGGCGGACTCATGGAAGGCAAATGCCTACTTGTTATACTCTTGCTCCTCTCTTGTAATAAATGTTTTTGTGTTTTTTGAATAGATGCATAGGAGAGGAATTGCTGGATTGTGTGATAGATATATATTCACATATCTTTGGATAGACTCTTCACTATAAAAGTACAATGAAAATATTTGTGAGTTAATATTAATTTGTGAATTAAAATTAACATTTGCTAGAAATAGCAGAAATACCCCCCCAATAGAAAAAGTTAATTATTAATGGAATTGGGCTGGAGCGAGAGCACAGCAGATAGGGCGTTTGCCTTGCACACAGCCGACCTGGGTTCGATTCCTCCGTCCCTGTCGGAGAGCCTGGCAAACTATCCAGAGTATCCAGCCCACATGGCAAAACCTGGCAAGCTACCCATGACATATTCGATATGCCAAAAACAGTAACAAGAAGTCTCACAATGGAAACATTACTGGTGCCTACTCAAGCAAATCGATGAACAATGGGAGGACAGTGCTACCGTGCTATTAATGGAATTGTTAAACTTTGTTTTCAAGGAAACCTCAGTAGCACTTGGTAGTGTTTTTAATATGTTATTGCAAACCAAAGCAAGTTTACAAAGCACATAATGGTTAATTAAATGGTTGTTTTCATGACTATGCTTTTAGGAAATGGACACTACAAACATAGAGAAAATGGGAATAAATGCACAAAATGCTGATATTATTTATTGTCTGCTGGACTAATTTTATTTAATATATGTAGGGTATTTTATGTCTTTTATAAATTGTTTGCCATCAATATTTGAAGGGAAGGGGTCGGGTCTCCAGGGCTTCATCCAACAATGCTTGCAGAACCATATGGTACTGGAATCATATGTGAGTTGGCCACATGTAAGGCATGAATTCTTTTTTTTTTATTAGTGAAACACTATGAGGTACAGTTGTAGACTTCCAAATTTTTGTGCTTGGGTTTCAATTATACAATGTTTGAGTACCCATCCCTTCACCAGAGCCCATTTTCCACCACCACTGATCCCAGTATCCCTCCCACCCCTCATCCCCCCCCCATCCCACCCTGCCTCCGTGGCAGGACATTCCCTTTTGTTCTCTCTCTCCTTTTGGGTGCTGTGGTTTGCAAAAGAGGCATTGAGTGGCAATCATGTTCAGTCTATAGTCTACTTTCAGCATGCATCTCCCATCCTGGGAGGATCTTCCCAATACCCTTTATTTGGTGCTCCCTTCTCTATCTGAGCTGCGAGACATGAAACTTAATCCTCGTACTGTCTCTCTGGCTCCCACAGTTCATTCATTCATTCATCATTCATCATCCTGTTATTCGTCGATTGCCTCGAGCAGGCCCCAGTAACGTCTCTTTCATCCTAGCCCTGAGATTATATTGAAGGCTCTTTAGGAGAATGAGACCCATCATTGTTACTGTTATTTGGCATATTTGGTACACCACGGGGAGTTTCCCAGACTCTGCCCTGTGGGCAGGCTATATTCGATAGCCTGCAAGTTTGTCCAGAGTAGGAATGAGATAATAAGATATCATAAAAAGATGTCCTGATAAGATGTCGCGTGGCCGCAAATGCGGCCGCGCGGTTCCAGGAGCTGGATTTTATAGTCTCTGAGTCTTGGCCGTTGATGAGATTACACGGCGCCAGGGGGCCAGGTGGTGGGTATGACCCCCGCCTACTGGAATTTGGAGGATCTGGGTGGAGGATGCTCGACTCCAATTTGAGTAGGCTTGGAGATCTTGGCCCTGGAACCCGTGTGGCTTTGTCCCTCTGCCAGTACCTTCATGTGTGCGGAGAGTGGTCCGCTCCCACAGTTAAGGAAAAATATTTGAAAAACAACGCCAAGTACCAAAAATCAAGATGTCATCTCTATATCCAGCTGTTTTCCACATCTTTTCTCTGAGCTGAGGGTTATTTATCACCCCAGTGACTCCCTTGTCACTTGCCTTCTGTGCCTATTTAAAGACTCAACATCCTGTTTTCTTTCCTACGCACATGCCTTTTTTTTTTACTTATTTTTCTCAGTTAGGTTGAACACTCACGAAGAGGCATGTGATGATGGGTATGAAACCAGATAGGGTACATGCCAGGTATGTGTGCCTTAACGTCTGTAATATCTCATGGCCCTAGATGATACACTTTACTTTCTTGTGACTCCTTTTTAGCTGTCAGTTTTAGGAGAACTTGTAAAATCAACCTTCTGGTTATAACTTGGGCTGTTTGTAAAACTGTGAATTACTGATAATTATCTTGGCTTCTCCCTCTCCGT